ATGGGCTTTCGAATGGTGTATGAATTATTTGTGTTGTTATTACAAGTGTTGCTGTGACCCCCTAGGAAAAGGTTATGCCCCGCCCTGTACATCCCGTTGCCTGCTGCACCGCTCTACTCAGACTTGCCCAGGGAAGCCCCTCCGGTGCAGCAGGCAATGGAATGCACATGTGAAGGCGGCGACTACAGTGGGTTTTTCAGTGCATTCGAGACGTCTGGTAGTCCGGTGCGAACCGGCTGAATACCACTTCTGCTTTTAAGCCCCCAGGGTTCCATACAGCAGTTTTGCATGGATTGAGGCTTGGGAGGCTACAGTCTTGTTGCAGGAACATTTGAGGCCATTTCCTGTCTTTCTTTTCAACAATAACTCATAAGTGCATTTAACACACCGGATGTGTAATGCACTTGCTCATTTCTTATTGAAAATGAACACGCCCTCTCTTGTAGTTTGCTCAAGAGGTGCGGTGGCCCAGAGGTGGAGCTCTCACCTCATAATCAGGAGGTTGTAAGTTCGATCCTAGGTAGAGGTAGATATTTCTCTCTCTTGGCACATTGAGAATATATGCTGAATATAACTCCGCATTAGCGACAGGAAGGGCATCTGGCCAGTAAAAACTCAGCTCCATTCAGTTGCCCAGAGACTACCCCACAAGGGATTATGGGGGAAGAAGAAGATGAGGAGGAGGAGGAGAAGATGTCTCTTGTAGTTCGCTTGCACTATTGTAGGATGCTTCCTTGCTGCCTAATTTGCAAGGCTCCGAGATGCTCATCCAAAGAATGCCAATCGCCCAGCTTTGCTCTTGGTGATATTAACTTCAATTTAGATCAGGTTAAGTTGGATTTGGGTCACAGACTCTCTGGGATGACGGTGGTCAAGAGACCCCAGCTGATCATTGGAGCTCATCCTAACAATCTGGAAGTTGAGTAACAGCAACTGGACTTACATCCTTGTTGGCTTGAGACATTTTGCTGCCCATCCAACCTGCTTCAGCTTCTTGAGCCTGAACAAGTTGGCTAGGGGAATCTGGAGAAAAAACCTTGAGATTGCGGCGGGAATACCCCTAAGATTTTTTAGGAGTTGGACATTCTAACAACTCTCTGCCCCTCTTAACCAACTTGTTCAGACTGAAGAAGCTGCTTAGATGGGCAGCAAAATGTCTCAAACAAACAAGAAAATAACTCCAGTTGCCATGATGATTCTGCCTGGATGACGGAGAGTCTTCATCAACATTCTAATAATGTTTTCTTACTGAATTCCTCGTTTTGTTTCCTATCTCCTCACCAATTAGGGGCACACTAAAAAAATGACAATAACAAATTCACTGAATTTCTTAGTCAGTTTCTTCACAAACACATACATGGACTTATAAATTTTTTTGTGCCCAAACCATAGTTCCCTAAAAGAACAAATTTCTTTGGATGAAAACTCCATCAGGTCTGCCTTCACCATGAAAAAAAAGCTGGTGTATCTCATGATAATTATATTAGGATAGTGCCGATGCAGCTACTTTAATGAATCCCAAAAAAGTTTCATCTTTGCACTCTTCTGTGTTAAATTGCTCCTTCTAGATTAAATCCCAGGTATCCTACAGCCCTGAAGCATAATCAACAAATCAGAAAACCTTTCTATATCAAGGGTTTGCTCATCCAAAGGCTGCTTTTGTTCAGATTTACCTGTGTTTTTAGCTTTGTTTTGTTTAATTAAAAGAGTGCTTCTCCCTCTCTTTCCACTTGTTTTGTTCAGTTTGAAATGGTGCCCTATGCTAGCAGTGTTCCCCACAACATAATGACTCTCCTTAAAGCCAGTGGCCAGAAAGGCTAGGATGATGGGATTAATAGTCCAGCACAGCTGAGAGGACAAAGTAGCTCTTAAATCATTTCTTGATATGCATTAGTTCTGTGGGTTTTGTATTATTATTATTATCTCTCTATTTTTTTTAGTTTTTATTTTACACATATAAACACATCAACAAAAACAAACACATGACTTAAGACAACATAGGAACAAGAAGTTCCATCATACAGCAATTCCATATCGGTTTCTTTGCAATTAGTGTTTTCCCTTTCTATACCTTTCTATCTTACATTCATGGTCTCTTTATTCATTATCCATTTTTAT